AAACGTAGCATGTTGTGTCATTTTTACGAAAAATTATTCCATACAAACACCATATACAGAGATGCTCCGATCTCCACTGTCCATCATAGCAAAAATATATGACGGTGGACCCTATTTTGAATTTTTTTTCTTAAAAAAAAAAATTGCTGTGATGGACAGTGGAGATCGGACAGCGTATGCATCTCGGTGTCCGTATGGAATAATTTTTCCATTTCTACGGGACTTTCTCGGATAGTTTTCTGCTTGTATTATTTTCATATTAATTTTGCATATTTTATAGACATTTTTATTACGTAAAGTTATTTTTTTTATTGTGAATTTTTTAATATATGTATATATATATTCATGATTATCACTGCACCCTTTTAGGGAGTTATTTTCTCAATCACAGCTTTAGAACCACCTTTTTAAAAAGCTATAGCCATCCCAAATGCATATGTAGCTTGTCTCAAGTTTAATTTGTTGACTTTGATTTAAAAATATTTCTAATTTTAATTGATTTAAATTTGTGCAAGAAATATATCAATGCCCCCATGGATGCAAATTAAATTAAAATTAAATTTGAATGAAAATAAATATAATGTAAAAATTAGTATATTCCTTAAATATACTAATTACATGGCATGAAGTCTACTATTTTAATGCTGTCTAAATGTTAATACTAACTAATCATGCTAGTCATGAAAAAAAAAATAGAATCAAGGCTGTATATAAATAAAAATTATTGTATAAATAAATAAAAATATCATATCTTCAAAACCATGACATGCTCATATTGCTCAATAATAGAGAGAATACGTGTACAATTTAAAAAAAAAGGGGAAGATTTACATACATGACCATCAATTCCTACCTATTTACATATTTAAGTCTTAAACTTCAATTTTACATATATACCGGCTTACGTTTGCAAGAAAAAGTGTATTTCACATTTTAAAAATCAAAATGGTGATATTTTTTAATGCGATTTGAATGATTTCGGACGTATAAATGTAAAAACTAAAATTTAGTTATTAGATATGTAAATACATAGGAATTAGGTGGTATGTATGATAAATGCCCCACAAAAAATGTCAATATTTTTGATCCCACCTACCACAAGATGCTCTCAGGCTATAACTGAGCTGGCCTTGAAATAACATATCCAATCAAATCATATTATAATCTAGAGAGAGAGAGAGAGAGAGAGAGAGAGAGATTGGTTATTAGTGTTAAATAAGTAAGGATTTTCACATTATAGACAGATATGAGCAAAGAAGTTTTTCTATGAAATAAATATTAGAATAAGATCTTCGAATATATCTACTCTCACAGATGTATTAATAGAATTAGAATATATTATGATTCATAGAAATATAAATATCTTATGTATTTAATAAATTAAATGGGTTGGAGATAAAACTAAGAAGATAAATAATTTAGGTTTTAAAACTTTGATATTCAGATAGGAGTCGCATTAGATATGGTTTGGGTGTAAATATAGATAAGAGTTTGAAAAATAATATGGTAAAAATTAATAGAATTCGAGATAAAATTATAGACCTGAAACTTATTGTTGATACTAAAGATTTTTAATGTTATAAATTCTTATGATCCTCAAGTAGGAATAGAGATAGGTTCAAAAGAAAATTTTTTGCATGACTTAGAAGAATCAATATAAATGATGCATGTTCTAGAAATATTTTACATTAGAGTAAATTTAAATGGGCGTGTTGGTTGAGTGGAGTGATTAATGAAGATGAAATATAATTATATTAGATTTTGCTTTAGCTTATATTTTTGTTATTAATGATACTTTATTTTAAAAAAAATTGTGAGCATATTATTATTTATAGGAATAGATCTAATAAAACATAAGTTGATTGTTTTCTTATGAGAAAAGAGATCGTCGAGAATGTAAATATTGTAAGGTCATTTCAAGTAAAAATTTAGGTACTCAATATCAATTGTTAGTTCTAGATTTTAAGATGAGATTTTAGAAGATAAAAAATATAGTCATAGAATTAGATGAAGACACCTGCAAAACACAAAGAAAATTATATTTATGAATAAACTTCATTATTTCAAGATTTGGGATGTTTATGAAATAGTGAATTTCATGTGGGATATGGTAAAAAAATACTATTAAACAAATATCAAAAGTTGTTTTTGAAGAATCAAAAGTAAAAGTTTCTAAAAATAAAAATAATTGGTGAAAAAAAATGTACAAGAAAGATAAAATATAAGAATTTTTATTATAAAAATTGGTTTTAATGTAAAAATTTTGAGAACTGAGAAAAAAATATGGTCTTAAAAACTCTGTTTACGATATTAAAAACTCTGTTTTTATTGATCTTTAAATATGTAAATACATAGGAATTAGGTGGTATGTATGATAAATGCCCCACAAAAAATGTCAATATTTTTGATCCCACCTACCACAAGTTGCTCTCAGGCTATAACTGAGCTGGCCTTGAAATAACATATCCAATCAAATCATATTATAATCTAGAGAGAGAGAGAGAGAGAGAGAGA